AGGAGCAGAGCAGATAGATCATAAAGTTAATTTATGTTTTCGAAGCTCTTGTGCCATAGCAAAAGTACAAAAAAAAAGACCTTAAAAAAAGAAGAAAAAGTATTGCCAAGGAAAAAGCTTTCCCTCCATTCAGGTTTTGACATTTGTTTTTTCATTTATAGGCTCCAGCCGCCAACTTTATCTGTTAGCTGACTATCCAGTGACACTTAATTGAAGTGTAATAAAAGCTCAAGGGGCTAAAAACGGTGACCAGAAGTGAAGGTGCCACGTGCCCGTCATTGCCCGGGTGGCCCCACATGTGGCGCTTTGGTGGCACCCAAGGTTTGCACCTTCCCGAGGCGGCAAAGACCTTCCTGCTGGTCTGACACCCTCTGTCCTCGCCGYGGTGCCCTGGGCTCCCCCCTCAAAGGGTGAGTAAGAACTTGGGGACTTGGGGTGCGCACATGGGATTTTTAGGGACCTTGTTCGTGCTCTCCAGCCTGTTCTGGTGTSCGCAGTTGCTATAGGAGGACTTGGCCTCCTGCAGACCTGTTTATGCATGTGCTTGACTTTGCAAAGTGTGTTGCACCTCCTGTTTACTAGGCGTAATTCAAAGCATGTGTAGCTCCTGCAGCGTCAGAACTAAATATTGAAGCAAACGTGCCGTCTGCTGCCTTTACAAGCCCTCCTCACAGGGCAGAATTCYCTTGTTCTGTAGGTGCTGTAAATCCACGCGATGGGCTCCGTCTGCGGGAAGAGCTGACAGGACCGGCCCGCGGCAGAGCTGCTCACATCCCCCCGCGCCACGCGGAGACACGGGGCACGTGTCAAATGGAGCTGGGGAGGAAATAGCTTTCCCGTTCTGCAAAATTTTTTCAGATTTCAAACATTTTCTCTTTCGCAACAGGATGAAAGTGAGATCTTTTGAAGTATTTTAACAGAAAAACCTGTGAGGGATTCCAAAAAATGAAAAATAGCTCAAGGATTAGGTCACCTGGGGCATAGAAAACCCACGTTTAAATACATCTTTTGCCTGAGATGCACCAGGAATTTGAACCTACACRGTTCAAATAAGAGGGGTACATTCAGCTCCCTCACCTGTGGTCACCCTTTCCTACTCAGTCCCGTGGATCATTCTCCCGCAGGTATGTCCTGAGTGCATCATTTTTGAGCTGATGCAAGGTGGGATATCATCCAGTGCAAGGTGGGATATCATCCACTGCAAGGTGGGATATCATCCAGTGTCAGGTCATGTCTCATTCCATGGACCTGTTACCTAGTACCCCATAACATCAAAAGCTTTTATAACTGAGGCTGCGTAACAGTGAGCTGTCCAAAGCAAAGCAAAGGAGCCGGTTATAGCAGAAACTTAGGAAAACCTGGTGGTATTTTGGGGATATCTGTTCTTATTTGCATGCCCTCCCGTGTCCCACCTGAATAGCCATGTGGATTAGACCTGAACTCGCTGCTGCTGTGGCTGGTTTTTCCCCTGCAGACACTGCTAAGAGCGTGAGACGGGACGGGAGCACCGTGATGGTGCCAGGCGACGAGCCCGAGTGTCCCTGCGGAGCGGGAGGGAGCTGCGAGGTCCAGGGCAGAGCCCAGAGAGGTGGCCCAGGAGGAGCACAAGGTGAGACAAAATGGTTTATTCCTGCAGGGCTCATTGCTGCCAAACGCCAGCGCGCCAAGGCCCAGGCTGCGATGGGAGTTTCAGGGATTAAAAGGGCACCCTCCTCTCGCTTGCTTTGAGTTTGCAAATGGCAACGCTCTCTTTGAAGATGAGATGTCGAGAGCGGAGGTCCCGTTTGAGTTATTCCCTTTTTTATGACATTGCTAATTTGATAGTTTGCCCTGAACACAGTATGCTTTTTAACTTGAGCCACAAGGCACTTAATGAGCTATAGGCATGCAAACCAGGCCTGAATATCAAAACCAGACACCCCAGTGGAAAGCGCCCAGGCGTTCAAGCTTGCGGGACCTGTTTGCTCCTCTGCAACGTACATTTACGCTTTACCCTTCTCCCTTCCCCATCCCATCCCCAGATGTGGGTGTGCGAGGCAGCRTRTGAYCCTGCATGGGACAAGGGAGATGGGRTTTCAGTGATTCATTGCTCCTTTGCTGGCCCTCCGCAGAGGTAATAATTGCACCCCTAAAGCACAGTCTGATSGGCTGGTAGTTAATAAATGAGTCTTGGGTCCTTCCCATAGATTGCTTTCGTTTTAATCCGTGTCCAATTTCTAAGTCTGGCTTGAGTCTGAGACCTCAAGATTTTCTGACTTTACCCCTTGCTTGATTAGGCAGGAGTGCTGGAAGGCTTTGGTTAAATATCCCAGCCCTTTTCGGTGCGGAATACATCATCAGCGGGAGAAGGGAAAGAAAATGGCATGTCCTCTGGGATGAACATCTCAGCCTGCTTGCTCCTGCAAACGGAGCTTGGAAAAGCTCCATTTTGAGCCAGAACTTCCAATCCTGATAAATGGCAACTTGCTTCTGGCAGACCTCAATTCCTGTGTTCCCAGTAGAACGTTCCCTTCTGCCTCCTGAAGCACCTCCTTCCAGGTTCGCATTTAGCATACAGAGACATTCATCTTGGCTTCGTCAGAGCAGCTCTGTTAGCTCCCTGGTTTGCTGCGCAGCCAGCATTGAAGATCCAGGCGCTTATCTCAGTTGTGCCAAGTCCCTCTTGCGTCACCGCCTCTAGGTGCAGGAGAAGAAACTCGTGTCCATTTTAGAGATCAGTCTTAGTGTGACAGAGCCCCAGGCACGCGTCTTCAGAGCGGATCAGCCAGCCCTGGGTCGTTTTAACCCATGTCCTCCATTAGTTATTGTTTGTGGGCTGGATTTTCATTTGCCCGTTTCTCTGCGGGTTCTGAGAATGGCTGGTGTCTCGAGCCCATTTCAGTGTGTGTCTGTCTCTCTGTTCCGCAATCCAGATGTTTTTTTCCCATTTTACAAAAGCCTAAAACAAATAAACACCCGGTCCTGCCCCGTCCCCTCTCCTGGGATTAGATCTTCCCGGCGGGTCATTAAGGCTGACGTGCGCTGTCCTTCTCGGCAGCGTGYGGCGCTGATGCCCCTGCCCAACGCGGGCACAGCGGTGCCCGGAGAGCCGTCGCGTCCCGGCCGCGGCTCCTGCCCCGCTCCGCGTCCCGTTCCCACCTCCCCGCGCTGCTGTGTGCGGGCGGGATGGCTTGCAGCTGTAGGACAAGCACTTCCCTGGCAGACCCAGTCGAAATACCAAGTGGTTTTATAATGGAAAGCGTTGAACCAAGAGCTCTTGTGTCTCTCTTCTGTCGCTGCTCGTAATCACGGTCGGCACCAACGTCACGCCGTCCTGCTTGTCGCCCTCGTGGTGCCGCACGGTTCTTGTGCCAGCAGGGAGGACAGCAGTGGAGGCTCCTGCCATCGCTCTTGCTGTCGTGGGGAGGAGGGTCATGTGGAGCCAGGCTGTGTGGGTTTAACTTGGGCCGGGATCACTTCCTAGCCACCCGAACCTGCTTGGTGCTCCGTGGTGGTGTGGGTATCATTAAAGCAGCTTGGRGCTGCTCTAAATGATGCTCCCGGCGGGGCCCAAGCCTGGTTCATCCATACCTTGCTCCGCAGGCTGCAGTGCCGCCTGCGTCGCAGTCTTGCCTTGCRAAGACCCCGCTGCGACCACTGATGCCATTAGGGCTCTGCATGTCAAGCTGTGAGCGACGTAATATTGAAACCCAAGGGGGAGCAAAAGGCCTCGCCACRCTGCACTTACTGCAAGGTTACATCAGCTCCCCAGGCTTCGTTTTGGCTCTGGGTTTCGTTTRCTGAGACTAACGACCACGGCACTAATTAGTGCCAGCGGAAGAAAAGAGTTCAAATGCAAAGTTAACCGCAAAGAATAGATTGAGATTTCCCAAGCAAATTTAAGAAAAGCCAGCTAGAATAAATCAGTTGTTGGAAAGTTTTGCTAAGTTGGTTAATTGTGGATTGCTTTGAAGTCAGTGGATGTAAACAAACATATATACATAATTATTGACCGCGATGATATTTAGGAATTTGAATGTGACAAAACACCCAGCTATTCAAAACACATTTCTCCCACTTCATTGTTGTTTATAAATATCCCCTAGCGTTCCCAGGGAAATAGCAGCCGTGTTGGAGAGGCCGTTACGTAACTGCGTCGCGCAGGCTCGTGAGCGAGGTGCGACGCGGAGAGGAGTGGAACGGTGAGAAGGGGGCCAGRTAACGAGGTGCAGAGCCTTGACGATGCTCATTCCCAGGCCGTCCTGGTGGCGAGTTGGCAATCCCTTTATCTGCAATGGCTTTTCCTGTTTTGTGTATAAAGCTGCGTCTTAAATTACACCAACCATCCATAAGAAATTAAGACCAGTGCATTATCTATACTCTGGGCAAAGGATGAAGTCTCCRGCGACACAGAATCACAGAATATTCAAGGTTGGAAGGCACCTCTAGAGATCATCTAGTCCAACCTTCCTGCTCAAGCAGGCACACGTAGAGCATGTGGCACAGGGTGGCATCCAGGYGGGTTTTGRAGACCTCCAAGAACAGCCGCAGGTCTGTCACGCTACGGCACCATGACTGCAGTGTCCTTACTGGGCAAGCCAGAAAGCAGGAGGCAGCAATTAAGTGACTCCGGAATAAATTCCCCCCATAGGAGCTGCCAAAGTGAGGGAGACTTTGCCAGCACCAAAGCTGGTCCACTGAAGTGCATCTAAGATGTGGTGGTTGCTGAACACGGTACCTGTGCTCTGCAGGCCTGTTAAGAGCTATATTGTGTTTAAGACAGCTCTGGTGTTTTTATCTTGAATTGGCTTCTCAACTCTTCTGCTTTTAGTAGTAGCATCAACACATGTGTCTAATATCAGGGAAATACCCTACTGTTTCCATTCAACAGTAAATGAGGACAGCTTTGTCTTGGTTTGCATTATGGATTTAAACGATTTCATGGGACTAATTAGGAACTCTTTTCTGTTTCCATTAGGAATCACAGTCTTCTATCTGACAGTTCAGCCTGAAGAAGATAAAAGAGGTCCCTCGTCATGATCTAAAAACATGGGAGCAATACAGGTCTCCTTCAGTCTGGAAGGTAAAGGTAAGACACGGCTTAAACAGCTACCAACAAATGTTCTTCACAATGCACAAATTTCATCAGTCCTACCAGATTTGATCCTGCTATGAGTGCTGCTGAACTCCATGACAAAAGCCTGTAAAGACAGCGATAAAAGTGCTGCAAAACTGCAGTCCTGTTTACTCCTCTTAGCTCTTTTTTAAGTTCCGCTATGTCAGCTCCTCATTGGGAAAGAAACACCTACCTTTAACATACTACCCCCCAAAATAACTTCCAAGACCTGAAAAGGAATAAAAATAATCTCCACCACAAGGACTTTTTCAGGAGAATGAAGGCTTTAACGTATGCCAGTCTTCCCAAATGATACACAACTGATGCTCTGTTTGGAAAGGACAGATAAATTTTGATATGGTTTTTTTTCTGCCTCTGTGTATTTAATAGCAAAGGACAAACAGGTAGTTTTGATGCCTGGGTAAGTGAATGTTGAGGGAGCTTCCCCAAGTCAGAGGGATGAGTTAATTCTTTTCTTTKTAATGCTATTTCATACATCATATGGCAAAAAGCAGCCACATCTGTTCAGTGACTAATATAAAGGGAATATCCCATGCGTGTAAGCGGCACAAGCCTGTCTCACACTCAACCTTTCTGACATTTTTTCAAGGGCTGGTTATGCAAGAAATAAGTGGGGACAAAGAACTTTTAGTCAGCTTTGAAAGCAGCAATTTGGCTTGGAACAATATCCAACATCAAAATAATAATGAGTGCATGTTACTGCTGACAGACCCGGAGACAAGAATTTGCCGTACATCCAGAGCCAACTTCTAAAGTCCCTTCGCCTTCATATCTTAGCTCTTACATATGGAAAACTCTTGGCAGAGGAGGTGGAGGAAGGCAATGGAAAGGGTTTGGGAGACTAAATGCCTTGAGATTTGGCTTTCAGGGAACAGGCCCAGGCTCCAAAGCAGCAATGAGGACATTGATGGCATCTTTCACGGTTGGCCGTAGCATTGATCCAATGGCATCCTGTGGGGAAGGATGAGAGCAGGGAGGAAATGCTATCAAGACTGGAGGTACCAGGAAAGCACTAGGCAGTTGCTTTGCAATCCATGCGTTAATCGTGCAGGACCTTGATCCATACAGTGCTTGTGTAGGACCTTGATCCATATGGTGCTTGTGTAGGACCTTGATCCATGCACTGGTTGTGCAGGACCTCAATCCACATGCTGGTTGGGCAGGACCTCCCCTCTGGCCACTGAGCAGTCATCTGAAGTGAACAGGTTCAGGCTCTGCCATCTGGAATTAGCATTTAATGATGAAGGGCTCAGGGAACAATTTAATAAAAAGCCCTCATCAGTAGCCCTTGGAGCTTTGCAATCCTTTGAAGCAGTTGTGCAATAAGGAGAAAATAAGAATGCATTGAAAAGGACTGTGTTGTGAACAAAAGACTGGACAATAAATCAGAGAAAACCCCATACTGAAAGTAATGTATCTGCTAGGTTTGGCTGGACTTTTGGGTTTGTTTTCTTTTTTTTTCTTTCTTTTTCTATTCACAAATTGTTTGTTTGGAAATTATGGTGCACAGCTTCAACTAGTGTACGACAGCAGCATGCCATTAAAGTTTATGAAGCAGTGTCACCAGCAAAGCTCTGTTGTTTACGCTAGCTGAAGTGTTGGATTTGTGTACGTTTTTATGACCTTTCTCATTATTTTAGTTGTTCGATAATGACAGTACGCTTCTTCCTTTATGTAAGTCACACGGTGCGTCTTTTGTTCCCTTTTTAGACAAATTAAAATTCAGACCAGAAGTAATCACTGGCGTAGCAGGTCTCTTGGGACGAGGCAGGGGAGTAGTCCAGAGAGAGAGAGAGAACAGTTAAATGGGTTTAGGTCATAGCTGGATAATCCGCACATGAGTCACCACTCCTTGCCCGGAGAGTAGGATCGATGGAATCCATCTCCACCAGCTTCCCCTCTTCCTGGGAGCCCTGGCGTCACAGGCGACCTGCGACCTCCAGGATCCATAGGGTGGTGTTGGTGCTGGTGGAGCAAGAGCAGGAGACGGTGGTTTGGTTCTGGGAGACCTGTAGAGATGTAAATGTTTTTTTTTCCCCTTCCAAAATTGTGACAAAAAGTCTAGAGCTAAAAAATTTGCTCAATCCAAGGTTCTAACAAACCTCTGAAACATGGAAGTTTAGTAATGGGAAAAGGTCTGTTATGACTTTGTCTATAGCTGGGTTTAATGTTCTACCATAAAGTTATTTTGACCTCCAACTATGTTAGCTATGAGCTATTGTTTGTGATGATGTTTAAATACAATGTATCCTAAATAATGAATCACATTTCTGGACTAGTTTAGAAAGGGGAGATTCTCCATAGCTGGCAGTTTCCCCTTAAGAATTTGATTTTTAACAAGCTATTTTTAACAGCCTGCAATCAACAGTAATGATTACAACTACAAGATCAGTGGTAGATGAAGCAACTATTTTGTTCCTGCATCAGCTCTTGACTGAAGCTGCATCTCAGTCCTTGCTGCTCAGCACCACTGACTTCTTGTGCTTAGACAATCCTYTGAAGCGTGCAGGCAGACTCTACCGCGTCAGTGGAAAGAGAAGGGTAATATTGTGAATGGCAGAGTTCCAGTTCTTCGTAACTGAAGCCGTGGGATGATCATCTTTTGTTTAAATGTCAGGGGATCATAGATGTCAGAGACGAGAAATGGCCTTTTAGATCATCAAATCTGCATCACGGCATGGACRTCTAGGGCTGGATTCCCACTGTGTGACCATCAATCCAGTCCCGTTGGAGCTGCTCCARATTAGCAGTTGTCGTGGAGCCCAGCCAAACCCAGTCGATGCAGGGGCACGTGGCATGAAATACTCAATTAAAAAATATATTGAATAACATATATGACCRTATTTTATTTGTCATGGTTAAAGTAACTTGGACTATGTAAGGAATTAAGATGTAGAAACATTGGGAGGTCAAGGTAATTACAGTTGTCTAAYGCATAGGCAATGAACCAGAGCCCGGATAAAGAGCATTTCCCAATAGCTGTTACAGTACAACCAGCTGGACTCTAATTCACTCACACTCATTAGCTATTACACCAAAAATGGATCAAGGCATGAAGGAAARGGCTGATTTGGTGCAAACCAGAGCAACTCTATTGACAGCAATGCTGCAACATCCACTTGCACCAGCTGAGAATCCAGCAAGTTGCTGTTTAATATTAATACCAATATGTGACTTGGAATAACACTATTACCCCYTTTTTATTCTTCATCTTACTAATTACAGGCCAAGAACACATCTACATCCTTGTTTTGCTAGGTGTGGTCAAAAGAGTTTACTATCTAGAATCTGAGACTCACTTTCCTTCAGGCAAATTAAGCCTTAAACCAGCACTTTGAAGATGCAAGGTTTTCCTGTCGACAAAAAGGAGAATTTTGTTGACTTGGATTGTGATTTCTCTGGCAGAACAGGAGAGAAAAATTATTCTTCGTAACACCTCTATTTACCCACCAGATTAGCCACTTACTGCATTTTTTCCCCTTTCTTTTCTTCCATGGGTTAAATCTATTTTGGGTTTTTTTTTTTTTTTTTTTTTTTTTTTTTTTTTTTTTTTATAAATGTGCTTTGGCAGGAGTTGTGATTTTTTGGTTAGTAATCCACTTATTCCGTGGTTTAGAAAATATCTCAAATAACAACTTGGACATGTTGTTGACTGTCATTGTTGGCTGCTCGCATGGCATGAGGAGCACGTAAAGAAATATGTCCTTTTATCTTCAACTCCCAAGCAGAGACCAAATCCGCTTCCTACCCTGCATCTAGACATATATACCTATAAGGTAGCSTGGAGGTGAAAATTTCATATAAAATTACTCACAGCTATATAAGCTCACACCCTGAGGGATCCACAAGCATATGCATTCCTGCATGCTTTCTATCTCTTTTCTTTATTTCTCTACATGTAGGTGCATATCTCTGTCTTCACAGTCAAACCTAAACAAGTGCACTCTTTTAGCTGGACATACATTTGTTCCTATAAGTAAGCTTGCCCGTTGTCTGCATTCTCATATACTGTAGCTGCCATGCGGCTCGAGTACTTGTCAGATGAAAGCTCACTTTTTCTTCCTTTTCAGTAAACTTATGAACCGATTGGGGCACCTTTTTTCGCAGCTGTAGATTAAGTCAATATGCCTTTTTCTGAGAGCTGAGGAAAAAACCTGAGCAAATAGCGCCTGTCTTTCAATAAAATGCATATATGATGGCCCTGGGATGTTTGAGGATGTCAAATTTCATTGGAAATAACAACTGTGTTTGTGTACGTTTGTTCATGCTTGTGGTTACCAGAACAAAACTTGCACTGCAGAATGGAAGGCAAGCCCTTTAGAGAGCAGATGTGTCATATGGTTGGAGTAAGCTGGTTGTATATATTTATGATAGACTCTATAGGTCCCAGTCAAGAGCCTGGCTCCCTCGTGCTAGGCACTGCATAAACAATTTGCGGGAGACTGACTCCAAGGAGCCTAAGTAGGCCACGGAAAGAGTTTGACAGAGGAAGAATTATTAGTTCCTTTCCACAAATAGAAAAACAGAGGATGAGGAAGTGGTTTGCCAAAATTCGTGTAGAGCAAGGGTGACAAMCCAGATCCCCCAATTCCCAAGCCAGTGCTTTAGAAAAGATCGGAGGAAATGGGAGCATATACCTCTAGAAAGTGGACGCCTGGAGTCTCAGATGGGTTTTCGGTCAGCTCAGGTTATGGGCTTGGAGAGCGACACAGTTTGAGAGGGGCAGAGCAGGAGGGATGTAGACTTAGTCCGGTTTTATCGGTCCCTTGGAAAAAGAAGCCCAAATATTATTAATGGCAGCTTCGTTGCTGAGTGTTGCCTGACTAGAGACCGCAGGGCTCCAACCACACTGGCTGCTGGCTGCACAGGCCTTGCAAACGGTGCCATGAAGGGCATGCAGCCACCAGGCCCCGACCTGCTTCGCTTCCTCGCTCCGCGGTGATCCATCAAAGCTATCATTCACGTTAACATGCAACAGGGGAGCTGCAGGCTTCACTTCCTTATGAAAGCCCTGGAACCCACCCAGCCTGGACAAACAGCCCTCTGTTTAACTATTGCAATGTACATTTTTATTATTGAGGCTGGACAGGCTTCCTACAACGTGACTCGTAGGCCCTCCTCCCGCGGCCTGCAGTCGTCGTTGCAATCGTTTCTTGCTTTTTAACCACATTCACTCAAGGGCTGCCAGTTGAAGGCTAATAAATCTGGCTCCAGGCCCCAGATTCTGTGGTATATATTAGACAACCAGAGGGTCTAAGCTGTTCAACCACTGTCTTGTTCAGAGGCTCTTTTGAATGATGCTTTTCCATTATTGCAGGCTTTTGTGATYACTTAGATTTGCTGTAGAGCTGCCAACGAGGCCTAGTGCTGGAGCGGGACAGCACAGGGCAGACGCACACCACGTTGTTCATACCTGAGGCCTCACTTAAATGCGTCATTAATCGACTCTCGTAAATGAGTACCTGAYTCCTTGCAGCATGGTTCAGTTGGACCCCAACAACTGAGCGTGAAAGCCTCTAAGAAGACGCTCGCACTAGGTGAAGCTTGGCTGAATTTGGTTCTTTCCTTTTGTCTCTATATGGAGACTTCTGCTCATGGCCAACTGCTCTTAGGTCGGAGAGCAAGAAGGGGCTTTCAATGGATCCTGTTGCTCTGGTTAAGACGCATCGTACTAAACAGTTTGGGATAAGTGCAGCACGGGGCAGGATAAGATGTCACCCTTAATGTGGGAGGATAAACACTCTCAATTCCCGGTTTGATGGAGAAGCTCAAACAGAGATTACAGTTGCCTTTGTTTATTGTGGAGATGGTGGGGAGCAGAGGGGAGAAGTAACTGGAAGTGACAAAACATAGACCTCCTGACGTGGGCCTTGATGATCTAACCACCGGAATATCCTTTTTTCCATGTAAATAACGTCTGATGATGAAGACGGTGGAATTTTACAGTGGTTCGTTAAGCAAACTAGATTTTCAGGTTCAGTAATATTGCAGATCAGTAGTGGCTGTTTTTAGTTCCCAGGTTAATTTTATGGAATATCCTGCATTCTGCCAGACTTTAATTAATTCCAAATGATTTCTGCCTTCCTGTATTTTTTTCCTCTTTTGCATGTTACTGCCTTACAGAGGAACTAAACTCTGTTTTCTCTAAGACAAGTAATTATATGCATAAGTGATGAGAAATCTCAAGCATTTTTATAAGCTAATTACAGATATTTAGGATGAGGATAATACACATCCGTAAAATATGTTAAAAGCTCATTTAAATAAAAGTAAATGAAATATGAAAATGTTAGGCATTGCCAAGAGAGTAAAGATCAATTTCCAGATACAATTTTAGAAGACATAAAACCATTCCTGTTATTTTTGCAAGATATTTTGAGAGCATGTTTTCTGCTGTAGTGCAAGGAATTGTGACAACATCTGTTCAGAACAAGCTGTCGTGGGTGCATCAGCTTGTTGAACGAGGTGGTAGCCTGGCTGAGAACTGCCTTTCTTGGAGCACCCCCTTGGTTTAGGCTGTGTTCTTTATATTCATTCTTTGACAGAATGTTTAGGCTAAAATCAGCCTGAGGGAGAAGCTTCCTGCTCTTTTCACCTACTTCAGCATAGCAGTACAGCAAAATCAGAGAAAATCAGGATGAGGAGCGAGTGCAAGGTGGTACCTATCAGCTTTCCTTGTCCCAAAACCGAACTAACGTTCCTGACTGCTGTCTCTCCAGACCCTTGTCCCAAAACTGAACATGGTTCCCGACTGCTGTCTCTCCAGCCCCTTCTTTGGGTCCTTCAGAGAGGAAGCAGCATCGTCTCCACTGGGGGCCAGCAGCTCCAGCTCAGGTAAGAGGAGACTCAGGCTGTGGTCTCCTTCCTAGTGGCAAAGCTGCTGTCCCCCCTTGCCTTAAGAGCTTCAGCAAGTGTTCCAGGTTGGTCCCCTTGTCCCACACCAGCTGCATCCTGATACCGCCACACCAGCTGGAGCATCCTAGTAAATCTGTGGGAAGAGCTGAGGAAGTGGGGACGCCAGGGGAGGGCTCGGGTTCATGTTCCTGAGCTCGCACAGCTCCAGGGTGCCGGCGGGGGCGCACGGGGGCCCCTCTGCTTTGCTCTGCTCTTGCTGAGCATCCCTGTCCCTTCCACGTGGGCACTTCCCTTCGCTCGCCTCGTTCGYGGGGACGGGGGCAGCGCAGGGGACTGTCCTTTTGGGGAGCACGGGCCTGCTCTGCAGGATGAGAGCCCTTTGCTTCCTTTCCAGCACTGCCTTCGCCTGCTGCCTGCCCGCCGAGGAGCCCGGTGATGGTGCAGAGCCCCTCTTTGCAGCGAGAGTTTAAAGGCGCAAGGAAAAGACGGGCTGGGAAAGCGCAGCTAGCCCGGCAAAGCAGGGCTGCCTTTCCATGAGCATCCTCCCCGTCCCCCCGGGAGCCGGGAGCACGGCAGCCAAAGTAAATGCATGAGACTTTAATTTGAACAAGTTGCTGGCATGGCTGGGGGCCAGGGCCCCCCCAGCTGGCCCCGGCCCGGCTCCCAGGCCCCCAGGAAAGAGCAGCGCGGGGGTGGCGGCTGAGTCAACGCGTCGGATGCACTTTCTCAGCAGTCAGCTGGGAAGTCCGCTCGGGTTAGTGGATGTGAGCGGGATTCCGGTCTCCTCGTATCGATCTGTTTTGGATACCGGGCAGCAGTGTTTTCATGCGCAGGCCTGAAAGGAGGAGGCCAAGGGGGAAAGGGCCGAGGTGGAGCGGAGCAGCAAGCTGCGGAAATGCCACGGGAGATCAGCGCCGCGTGTGCAAAGGGAGGCACCACGAGGAGGAGGAGGGTGGCAAGGGCCAGATGCTCCTAGCGGGCCGGGGCGCCAAGGCCGTGGTGGGTGCTGGGGAAGTGGGGCAGCCGGCCGTGGCTGACGCAGCGCGGGACGCAGAGCGGGACGGTGCCCGTGTAAACATCCTGCCGCCGAGGAATCCCGCCTTGTCCCGCGTCCCCCCTCTGAGACCGTCCCGGCTCACGTCTCTCCAAAGAGCAAGCGCTTTGACGGAGGTTTACCCCTTCTCCCCCCAGCGCATGCACACGTTGTCAATTGTTATTCTGGCTACACACTTTCGGGACTACTCCCCCTTCCCTAAAGTTGTGTTTATTATTACAGCTAAACAGTGACTTTTCTAATAGCCTTTTTATACGTCCTTTTAAATGCCTTCTCTCATAATCCAAAGAAACTTCTCATAAACTCCGTGGTGGGAGAGAGGGGTAAGATTGCCTGTGCAGATTGCTGCTCAGCACCAGCTATGCTGCTAATGGCCAGGACCTACAGAAACACAGGACTAGAAGGCCACGAGCACGATTTTCACTGGTTATTCAGCTGTTTATCTTGGTTACTATCAACATTTATGTGCCTGTTTGTTTATTTGGACTGAAGCAGCACCCTACTTTTTGATTTCCTTACAACTCGGAGACGCTGAAAATTGTTTGCTTTTAAATCCGTGGGTAAGAGCGATCTTATCTGGCTATCTAGAGCCTGACTCTGAGTCCTCTTTCATTTCATACTGAGCAATTACTCACATAACTTGCACCAGGCACTTCAGACGTAATCATGGCTATTTGCTGTTTTCAGTAGGAACCATTATGCYTGCTCTTTTTATTTCATCTCAAATTAGGTTAAATAGGTTTTAGAGGAAGAAAATATCCTGAAAGACTAAGCTACGCTGTCTTAAGTTTTGCAATATGCAATTAACTCTAGATTTCAATGCAAAACTAAGAGTTGGAGAATTCAGCAAGACTGCTGATCCAAAGCATCTTGCATTTTGGTGGGAACCTCTCTCCAAAAGGACCTGTTTCTCCATTGCTTCCCACAGTAAAGAGTCATTTATGCTGGTGAAAACTGCTGCCCTGTAATGAGGACAGAAATTCTCCGTGCTCGGTGTTCGTAAGCGCTGGCGGCGTATTTCCTGCCGGAGGTTAATGGGAAGGCACGAAACCTGCCTGCGCAAAACCTGCGCTTGGAGAAGAAATCAGAATCCATCATCATGGGCTGCTTTGCTCCACAGTGGGAACTAAAGGTTCAATTAAGTTTCTGGTCGTAGAGATGCCATCAGTCTCTAATCGCATCCAGCTCAGAGACTAAACAGGTTTCCAGCTCTGGGAGCTGTGCACTTCTATCCCTCAGACTGGGCATGTTTGTTCGTGTATSCTTCAGGTGGTTGTATAGGGAGCTGACTTTCTGAAAAWAAAAAAAAAAAAATAGTGACAAAAATGGTATAATAATACCATAGTATTACAAAAAAATAGTAATAATACCTGTCTCTGAGATATCAAAATGCTCAGTACTGCATTTAATGTCTTCAGCCCTAGTGCTGCTCTAACTGCTCCCCAGGGCCACCACATAGAAGGTAGGAAGGGGCAGGCTCAGGCTGCAGCAAGAATGAGTCAGGTTGAACATCAGGAGCAATAGGGAAAGAAACTCTGCAAAAAGAGCTTAAACTTCTCACAAGTTTACCATAAATTCATTGCTTACCCACAGCACGTTGCAGCCTGAGCAGTGTTTAAGAACGGGTGTAAAAAACTGCTTTTGGAGATGACATGGGCAAAGCTACCCCGGCCTTGGGAGAGGGTAGTGGATAGGTGACCTAGAGGTCTCCGTTCTATGAATATCCCCCCTTCATACATGGGAAACGGAGTCTGAGAGCAGGGAAAGGCCACGTCCAACGTCACGAAGCAAAGCTGCGAGCACGACTTAGGGCTATTCTCGATGGGGCAAGCAAAAAAAAAGGAAGGAAGGAGCTGTCTAAACACAAGATGAGGCCCTCAAACAAGGCACATGTCAGACCACAACATTTTCTTTCCCTCCTAAAGACAAGGAGATGGCTCCTTAGCTGGAAGCTTGGAGGCCGGTTGGCTTCTCATGATGGATCCTGGCTGAGGATTTGGCCCATACAGTTTTTCCCAAGCCAGAAGAAATCTATTTTGATTCTTCACAAATCTTTTAGTCACCGCTGGAAAATAATTGAAAATGCTAAACCTACCGACTGAGCAGTTAGGAATTAGAGGGAACATCGGTAGTTACGGTGGTAGTGGTTGCCATTCATTTTAAAATAATTGCAGCCCGAGATAAAACCGATTGGAGCGGCAAGTTTTGCTCAAGAGCGCTGCTCTCATTTTGAGGTTGCAATCACTCTGCTTCTCCAGTTTTAGCATCATTTGATATTCAGGAGCTTGAAATGCAGACAAATGGTGTTGGTTTGTAACAGGAGTCTGGTCGTTAATCACGAGGGGAGCGCTCGGCTCAGATGATAACTTAGAGCCTGTTTCTCAGTTACCGTCCTCGTGCATCCAAGCCTGTTGCTGGCACGCGGCTTATAAAGAATTTATTGCTGCTTGCTTGCAACAAAAGCAAATCCGGAAAATGCAAAATTCTGTTGATTTCGTAGGGAGGCAGAAATCAGTTGGGGGGTGGGATTTTTACCAAGAACAGCCTAAATCAGCCCCCAGATCCGTGCACAACACAAGGGGAGTTGCAGGAAGAAGGCCTGGTGCAGTGTCCCGTGCTGGGTCTGCTTTCAGGGCCAGAGCTCTACCCACGCTCATCACATGCCGAACCAGAAAGGCCAGGCTGGTAGAGGATTCTTTTGGAACCTTCTTCTCTCCTTTTCTTACAGAAACTGAAGTTTTTAAGCTAAATTGAAAACATTCACAGAAAGCATGTTTGCCTGATTTTTTTTCATATTTTTACCAGACAACAGCAAATCCAGTTTCATCTGCAAATGAGAAGTGTCAACTTTTTGTCAAAAAATAGCCATCACAAGCTCAAAAATAATCAGTTTTAGATGCAAAGTCAACAATTTTCCGTGGGGAAAGCCTCCAAATTCCAGTTCAGGGCATGTCCACATTCCAGATGAATAAAGCAGATGCGCAGGCTGGCTTGGGACCCGCTCCCTCCCGTACTGGTAAGAGCCTCGTCCTGGCACTGGGAGCCTCCACACGGGCTCCTCTGCGCCCTTCTCCAGCAGAAACCAGACACACGCACGAGTCCCTATGAATACCATGCTGGACCATGGCTTGGGGCCACCTTCTCCTCTGCCCGTGGCCAGTTTCTCCAGAGAAACACTGAGGCGCTCAGTAAGAAAATCAACCAATTATGCCCCATTCTGTTGTCCCTACCAGATGTTATACGGAGCCGGAGGGCGAGTCCAGCAGAAGAAACGTTCCCAGTGTGCGGAGCTCTGTGGTGGATCCCATCTCTGCAGCAAGCAGCAGCCGAGGCCCCCATTTTTTGGTTAAATATGTGCCCCTAACTAGTGTTTTGGTTAAATATGGGCCGGACACTAGTTTTTTGGTTAAATATGTGCCCCTAAAAAGCTCGGGAGGGTCTTTAAGGCTCAAATTCTTGTCCTTAGCGCCCCATTTTCTCTCCAGACCAGCTTCTCGGTGAGTCTGACCCGCGCTGGTCCGTGGAGCAGGAAGGAAAGCGGAGACCTGGGCCCAGCTCGTCGCCATGTCGCGCGCCAGCAAAGCGGCGTTTGCTCTGCGCAGGAAACTGCGTCTCGCCCTTTAGAGAGGCAACACGGTGCCCAGAGCAATTCCCCTGGCCAGGCACATGCCGGTAAGTGCTGGCGTTAGGCACAAAGAGAAAAGGACGGGAGATTTTCCTCTGGACCTTTGGGAGCTTGAAAGGGGCTCCCATCGGTAACGCTTGAGGCAACACAGCGGTGTTCAAAAGAGCAGCCCCTCTCCAAGTTCCTGGCGGATAACGGCGGTGTTTGCTTAGGGAAACGGGGTGATGGCAAAGGTTATGTTTTATTGGGTGCCATCCTTTTCAGCATGCTCGTAC